GGCAAAAGCGCTGTTCAACAAAGGAGTTTTAGAGACACTGCTATTAGTAAGATGTAATATTTCAGGTATTTAACATAAGTTCTAATTGGTTTAGTATAAAATTTAACCTCCTATTCCAATTTTCAGTCTTTTGAGAAAGAGACTTCATGGTAGTTTATCTTCATCATGTATATTGTCTGCTAATTTGTGCATACTCCCACCATCAAAAATGAGCTGCTCTCCTTTTTCCTTCACGTTTCAATTAATGACAGGAGCAATGGAAGTTTGGAAGCTAACATTTTCTATTTTTATTAGCATAACTACAAGAAATTTGAAATGATAGATTTCCTATTATGAATTCTATACATTTTATGATTTTTATACCAAGTCAGGGTCTTGGAGAGCCTCCCCTCTGCTGAACCCTGGATAAAGTGTGCTCTCTTCTCATCCCCTTCATGGCGTTTGTTACCGAGGCTGTGAGATCTCCAGGATACTGTCAGGATACTGTCCTCTCTGTGGCCCTATGAGCAGGAGCAATGTTAAGCACATGGTCTGGGGCACCTGCAGCAGATTCTCAATTACATCTCCCCTCCCAGGGAAGGGTGCTGTCAGGGCTAGGAGCTGACAGTATTTACCCTATAGATTGTAATTAGAATCACAAGGAAGAAATGTATGATGTCATTACAGAGTGAGCCGCCAGTCTTCATCCCAGCAGGTGTAGTTAATGCGTCAGATGTCGCCGATGTGCCCTGTCCGTCTCTGCTGTTGGGTGCATTTATTGTTGCAGGGTTCCCCTCTGCTCTCCTGCACTGGCTCAGCAGGGACCGGCTGGGTGTCTGCTGGTGGAAGGAGTAGCTGCCAAAGCTGCTGTCTCACCTGGAGCAGACTGGCTGCTGGAGGCAGTTTCAGCTCTGTAGCAGAAGCGGGAGGTGCCCATCAGCGATGCCAGGCGGGAGGCAGCTCATCCAGCCCCCCCGTACGGATGCACCCCATGGCCAGCAGCCGCCTGAGCGCTGCTGTCCCTCTGCCACCCCGCTCCTGCCATGCTATTTAAGCAAATACGTGAGTTCTTTGCATCAGGATGCAAAACTCTTCAAGGCATTAATGTGGTCTGGAGGCTGTGCTAACTGTCCGCGTAGACATTCATTAGTCAAATATACACCCTTGTGTAAAAGGTCAGAGTAACTTATTCAACAACGTTACCTATGTGCAGGTTAGATCAAATCCTGGCTGCCAAAAGTTGAAAGCCAGTATAAAGACAGAGATACGCTGTTTTATTACATCATTAAAAAAATATCTAGCTTCTACTCTAGCAGGGACTATAGGCTGGAGACTGACAGACAAGAATAAAATAGCTGGGAATAAATTTTATGTAGCTATTTTCTTACTCCCTCAAATGTGAATGCTTATGCAAAACACATTGCTGTAGATTCACTGACAATAAAGAGGGAATCATTATACGAGTAGTGGATTCTCAAGGGAACACTTTAGCCAAAACACACTCTGCAATAATTTCCCACATCTTAGTTGAATAAATTAATTTATGAATTTTCCATGAATATGTTCAACCGTTTCTCCCCTCATATATTTTATTGATCTCCATATACATTTAGCAACAAATAACAGAGCTGCTTTTCCATTTGCAGTAAAATAGTTTAGAGATGTTTATGTGGGCCTTGGGGTTCATAGTAAATAAATGCAGTTCAAACACCAGGGAGGTAGCAGAGAAACATGAAGCTTGGCAGGACCCAGCGAGCACTGCTAGGAAAAATGCTCAGCAGAGTCGGAGCACAATCCAGTCATACCACCAGTGTGATGGGTTCCCAAAATCAGAGGGACCAGCCTCAGACTGTGGGACTGCTCCTGGTGAGTCCTGTCTAGAATCAGCAAGGAGCTTCCTGGCTTCTGTCTGCAAAAACTGTGATGTCCTTTAGGTGCTAAAGACTGACAGGTTAGATCATTCCTTCATTTATTATGTTTTGTCCTGTACCGTGTATCTTTTTATTTTCATGTGAGAAGGAGGTGAGGATGGCCAAAGGAAAGATGGTATGTTATTTTTCTCCACAAAAAGAGAAATGCAGTGTCCATGATCTGGGGAAGACCAACAGGCTCCTTATAGACTGTAGATTCAGTGGCAGAGTAGTCGGAAAACTTCATTACTGATCCACAAGACATCTTCTATAGCCAATCTGCCCCTGAATATCACTTAGTTTGGCTTAGGCACTGTCATTAAATCCAAAGTTGAGCTACTTGTGTGGGTTATTGGAATGAATAAGCTCACCATCACGTGGAAAGCATGCTATATCCATGTTTTTCTTTTGGGAAGGGAAAAACAGTTACATACAGTGATTAGATGTTGAAAAGTAATCAGTATTATCCTAACTTAATATTTAAAACAATGGAGTTCATTTATCATCCAAACTGCCACCCCAGTTCTGTATGTACACAAACTAACATGCCAAACTAGAAGGGTGAGAATATAATGTGATTAATTTTAGGTGTATATTTATTCACATGTGACTGCACCATTGTGATCTTCTCCTTGCCCTGTGCATTCAGACCACAGAGACAGCCCTTTTCAAGTAGTTTCTATTTATTTATTTACTTTGATCTTTTTGATTGTAATTTTTATCAGTCTGAAGGAAAGCTGGGGAAAAACTTGCCATGCTGTTTCCAAGTGTAAAGCTCGTTCTTTCTTAACTGCATATAATAATGAGCTTGAAATAGGCCTTACCATCTTAAAGGTGGTATTTGAAGTGTAATTGCTAATGCTTAGATACAGAATTTACGTTTATTATGCATAATAAAATATGTAACTAATTGATGTTCTGTAAGGGATTAAATGATCAACTCCAGCTGCAGGAAAAAGATTTATGTCTGTGTTCTCAATAACATATTGACTGTCAGAGCACGCCGCAGAAAGAGTTGTTGCCTCCAGGACTGTGTGCTCAGAGTGCTCCCCTTTCTCCAGTTCTCCTTCCTTCTGATGTGTCTTTTTTGTGTTCTGTCCAAACAGCATAGATTAAGCAACTGTATTTATGGAGCACACAGATGAAAAATAAGTACTTGCATTCCCTTCAGTCTTGCAAGAAATTAGTGTAAAGCGCAAGCTAAGCTTGCCCGTGTTTGTGTGTGGCCGTGCGTTTTCTAAATCAGGAGGGTAGAGCATCGTGCAGAGCATGCAGCCACCACGGTGCGTTGAAGTTCAGAATGGCCAGGAGATAATGTCAACAGAAGAGGATGTAGGCACAGGATAATGGTCTCCTGCTGCTAGATTAAAGCCTGGGCAAAGATGAGCCCTTTTAACAAAAACAAACAGAGGCAAAGCCAAGATATTTGCAGTACTTTCAAAGCAGGAGGTATTTATCTTGTAACAACATCCTGTTCTGTTCTCTTGGCTTCCACTGTACCAAAATAACAGAAGATGATGCTGTGATTTTCGTCAGTGGCTGTTGCTAGATGAGCTCCAGTTGCCCACTGCACCCTCACTGGGTAACACCATGGTCCTTATTCTGGTGTCCTTCTGCCTTCAAAAGAGCTGCACATCTCCAAACGCCTTGTGTCGCACTGTGTAAGCATGCTGGCCTACTTTTAAACGGCAAAGAATTAATCTATAATAAAACTCTTGACATATCAAAGGGCTTTTACAGCCCCGCATTCCCCATTTCCCCTGGCAGGAGGCAGTCTCCGCGGGGAGGAGCGCCAGCCTCGGCGCTGCAGGCAAGACTCCTCCTTGCATTAAAACCCCTCAGATTCTGATCTGGTAACATCAGTGCTTGAAGCAGACAAATAAATGGAACTCAACTCAGTTCATTAGGTATCAAGCCAAAGAGAACACCTCGCACGTTTTTGTTCCCGCTTCTATGAGCTGTTTTTTCACTCCATTTTATTAGTATATTAGTTCACTTTCCAGCAACCGTGCTGCTGGGCACAGTCTGGAGAAATTGTCCTTGGGGCAGTAACTTCAGAGAGGACAACTACACAGGCACAGAGCTCTTAGAGGAAAGTCAGCGCTAAAATATATGTAGTGCAAACAGCAAAGGCTGTGAATAGTCAGTACGTTATAAATCAGGCTTTTAACTAGCAGACTTTTGCAATATTAATTCTCTTGAGTTGTCTCATTCATCCAGTACTGCACATGTCCTCTGTCCTAAATGGTTTGAACGTGGTGACTGTCAAGAAGTGCTGTAAATCCCATCTGCTGAGGTTTTAGGGAAGGGAAAGGAACACGTAACAATAGGCAGATATAGGGAATTACACTGTCCTGCTCCTGCTTTAATCTTCACTCTTCACTTTTATGATTTTGTTGTATTTCTGGAGTTGATTGCTTGATGGATGGCTTCTTTTAGGGATGGTGCTGTTAAGTGTTAAGGCAATGTATAATTATTGGTAGGAGTCATTTAAAATGTCCTCCTTGTTCAGAGAAGCTGGCATGTTGAAGGACCAGTCTCATCAGCTGATGAGCTGATTTCTTTCAGTTCTCACTATTGTGAGGATTGGTGTGTTTTCACGGACATTATTCAGACCAAATCCATAGCTTGCGGTGGAAGTTGAGAGCTCCCAGCTCCTCAAAAGACCAGACTAATAAATCAGTAGTGGAAACAGGTGATAGATGGCGTGATTCCACACTGAAACATGGCAATGCAGCGTAGGAAACACGTGGGATTCTGCAGGGTTGTATTTTCTTCCCAGCTTTGCCACTGATCTCTTAGGTGACCTGGAAGAAATTGTTTTAACTTTCTGTGGAGCGGATTCCATATATTTAAGCAGGGAATAATAGCAACACTTAACGAGGCACATTTAGAAGTGTCGTGCAAAGCTCTGCATAGGAAGTAGCTATTATTGTTGTTATCTGTAATAATAAAAACAATGGCATTTTCAATAGAGACTGAAGTTTTGCAATCTGTCCAATGCCATTACTGCTAAATGCAATTTCTCGTTTAATCCACAGCTGCTGCTTTTATATCTCATCCTAATTCAAAATGTATTCTTGGGTTTGGTTTTTTTTTTTATGATTCTAGTGCAAGTTGGAGTTTCACGCGTGTACTTCTGGCAAAACCATCACAACTCGATGTGAAGGGCCCTGCCCCTGCCTTCCAGGACCTGAAAGTTCAAAACACAAGATGGAGAAGACTGGTGAGTTGAGTTCCTCATGGAATTACAGCAGATTAATTGGTTCCTGCTATTTTCTTAGAAAACTGTAAGACAGATATTTCTTAACTATTTGATTTTATATGTAATGCTTTCTGAGAAAAAGCTGAGGTACAACTAATCCTTTTCTAAACCTGTAGTGCTTTCAAACAACTACTGCAAAACTAACACCCACTTGATAGGAAAACAAAGTTCTGGCTAATGATTCTAATTTTTGACTGAAAATATTTTGGCTGAAAATACTGAATCATCATAAAAGAAGACAGAAATAAAGAAAATACAAAGTAATGAACCATCAAGTAGTAAGTTTAAAAAAAAAAAAATCGATAGCCTGTGTGTTTACCAAAAAGTCATTTAAAGTCACATATATATTACATGGGCTCCGAATTATCATTTTAATCTTTATTGTTATTAACGTTATCATTAGAAGTCATGTATATTAGATATAAGTATCTGTCTTTATGTATTAAATTGTTTCAACAACAAACTCATTGCAAATGATGTTATGTAAAACTGAAGCTTGGAATCTCAGCATGAATGGCCGTTTTCCCTGCCAGCTCTCCGGTGAGTTCTCTATTTAGGTCGGAAAGCCTGGTGAGCTACTTCACTCCCCCAGGTATTTTCCGAGGAAGTAAACACAAGCTGTCTTAGAGTGACTTCATCCAAAGGGAATTAGTTCTTGCAAAAGAGAGTGACTAAAAGCAGACGTCCAGCAGCAGGGCAAGTGCCACAGCCAGGTTCTGTCTAAGAGTTTCCACCCTGCTATGGGGAAAGCCCTTTGGAAGGGAAAAGAGCTGTTACTCGTGGATATGTTTTCTTGATATGAGTGCAGATGTGCCGGGGACAGCATCTGTGTCAGAGTTGGTCTGGTTTTAAGGACAGGGTTATCTGTCCTTCCTTAGGAGGAGTGCGAAGAGAGACAGCTGGTGGGCTCTGGTCTGTATTACTCACAAAGCCAAGGTGATGACTTAAGCAGGGTTTACAGTGAAATACATCTATTTGCCTTGTGCGTCACGTGGAGTATAAAAAAGATGAAGCTTTAACAATGGTTTCTTTGACCTAAAATATTTGAGACCCTCTCTCCACTCTTATTCCTCCCTGCTATGGACAGTAGCAGGCAGAAACAGGAAAAAGAAGTTTAATCAACACTTTCTCTGGTTGATTCAGGCCCTGTCACTTCAGCTGAAAACACTGATGATCCTGCTCCACACACCCTGTCCTCTAGCACAGCATCAGTTTTCACATTAGGTTTCCATCCACTTTCTAGAACAAGAAGTGAGTCTCCAGCCTAGATTTTGAAAATTCAGGTTTATTCCATTTTTTTGCAAATCACAGACATTTTTCTGCATAGCTATCAAACTCAGATGAACTATTTTAGATGGCAAGGTTCTGAAATCGATATATAACTGTAGTATTGCTTTATGTGGCTTGAATCTTTTGGTTACAGCACACTCCCTGATAAATTGCCTTATTCATATTTTCTATTTCTTGTAGCCCTTATCAGGCTACAAGAAATATTTCTTTTTCTTTGCCCTTTCTATTTCTTTGCCCTTATCAGAAAGAGTATCAGATTAATAAATCTTCAGTGACATTTTAAGCTTACCGTTTCATTCACATGAGAGAAAAAAGATTCTAATAACCCTTATCTTGATAAATGCAATTTGACAGGGTATATGTATTCTGAAACCCAGGCTTTTGTTTTGCTTGACTCAAAACTTTAACTCCAACCAACAAAGCATTTATTTAATGGATTGGGTGATCTGCAGAGCAACTTTCCCAAAGGCTTTTTCAACAGACCAAACTTGAGCTAACAGTACTCCTGCCATTGGAGTCCAAGGATATTAAATGCCTTGATTCTGCCATCTTCAGTGTGGCATGAAGTGAGTGCTCTGCCCCCTCGGAGGAGCACACCTCCTGGGAAATAAGGGAAATCCTTGCCACGTGTGTATAGAAACATTAAAAACACTGGTCATCTCCTGCATCAACCGTATGCAAAGAAACTGCTCGTGAGCCTGATAATAGTGTTATAAGCAAAATACCTGCACAGACATGGAAGTGATTGTGTGTGTGCGCATATATATATATATATATATATATATATATATATATATATGTATATGTATGTATATTCAGAAAAAAAATAGCAGTGTAATATTTTGCTTTATCACTGTTTCTTTCTGGGGTTATGTGCTGAAATGCCCACAAAACGATTTGGTGTTGAGAATCAAATAATCAATAGAAGAGGCCTTCTAACTTTATTTTAAATTTTCTTCCGGGTCTTTGAATGTGCCAGTTAAAGACTTCCTTTAACTTCCTTTCTCAGCCACTCTTCTTCAAACAGTCTCTTCAGTTGACCCACTGAGTCTAATGGAGTCTCAATCTGAGTATTTCAGAGCTTGTCAGTCTTTCAATGAAGAGCTCCCAGGAATTTCCATGAGAAAACATGAGTAAATTCTATTTACTGGGTGATCTTTAAGGTCCCTTCCAACCCAAACCATTCTATGATTCTATGAAATTTTACCCTGGGGCAGTTTTAGCAACATCTGAAAAGGGATTTGGTATTGTGTGTGTCTGCCCTTTACAGCCTGGAAGCCAACAAGCTTTCCTTAGGGTTATGAAAGAATAATAAATTCTAGTTGCTGAATACAAAAAAAAATTTCCGTAGCACTGCCTTTCGTAAGATTCCTTTATCTGCTCAACGAGTAGCGTCACCTAGCTTTGGAGAAACAAGCCCTCACTAGTGCCTGAGGTGACGTGTGAGATGTACAAGGCAGTTCCCTAGCAGAGCGTGGCAGTTCCCTACAGCCTGGTCACGCCTACACTTGAGTCTCCAGATCTCTCTCTCTGGAGCTTCTGACCAGCATTTTGGTTACTTAGTACCTTAGTGTTCTCTGTAGTCTTCACACAAAATTATTTTATTTTCCTCATGTGGTACAATAGTATCATTAAGATTGGTGAATTGGTATAAAAATCAGTAGTTCATTTTCTCTTATGAACGTTTACATAAAGGAATTGTGTAGACAGTTGGGACTCGGTTTCCTCTCTGTATTTAGTTGTTAGGTATGTGGAATTTATTCAAATACAGCGTAGTCTGAAGTAGAAAATGATAGAGAGCTAAACCTCATGCCTCATACAGACATGTCAGTGGAAAAATACTAAGGAGAATTGCAGTGCAAATGCTTCCAGCAAAATGGAAATGCAGCTCTTCGAGCTACGCATAAACTTTTTTATGCCTATTATACAACAAGGTTAAATGTATGTGGTTGTGAACTTCCAATTTGAAGATGGTTTGCATTAATCTTTACACATTCTTTCAATCATATTCAAATATTATTCCATAATAAATTACTTTCAGAAATTAAAAATGTAAAGGAACATTTAATTTCCAGAGTACTGTAATTCTAAATGTCATGACCTTTTTTTATATGCTTGTGAATAAAATTGGCAGCAGCATCAAAGAAAAGTAATCTAAATGTATGTGCTCGGAGGTAACAATTGACTGCAGTGCCTGAGTCTTATTCCTTCCTCCTCCCTGGGCTCCTTCAAAAACATTTCCGCTTTGAGGATGAAAATCAAGAGTAATAATCATGTTAAAAATTACAATTCCTTTTATAGTGCTAACTGGTACTGTGGAGATGTTAATAAAATATAACAAATGCTAGCAAAAGAAAACTACACCAGAATTACTACCTTTAATGGCAAATAACAACAATATACTCTTTCTACCGTAAAGTTAAATCTTTGAAGAGATGGCAGGATCGTGTTCTTCATTTTTTTTTAAGTGGAATTTTGAGTCAGAGTCTGAGAGGTAGAAAACAGGACTCTGTGAGATTACTAATGGAAGATTTTGGAAACAAAGACTAGCCCCCATGTTTTTTCTCTTTGAGGCCTGTTTAGATTCCTTTAGTTTATCAAAACACTTGATATGCTTCATTATTCACAGCATTATCTCACCTTTACAATATGCTTCCGTGATAGCTGCTGATTTTCAACCCAGCTGCCCAGACACAAAGGTTGAGCTGTAATCTGCCCTGAGGTTACCTGCCCCTTCAGAGCATATGTGCCCTTTTATCTAATACTATAAAATGAATAAAGCTGTCATTTCAACAAAAGAAAAGGGCTAGTAACTGACTCTTACTGGCACCTAAGTGACAGAAGTTATTTAGGACAGAGAGACCTGTCTGACAGTAGTTCTCAGGTACCTCTTTCCAGAAGCTCTGCAAACTGGAGTTCTCATCAAGCGTAACTTACTTGGACACTAGCCGAAGCTTCTAAAACCCCTCCATAAACAAAGGACTTCAGACAAGAAACAGCCAGTTTTAGTTCTTCAGAACCTACTGGCAGGGGAAGAGATTTTTTTTCCCTTGAGTGCGCAGTTCATTCTGTCAAAAAGCCAACACTGTGCAGCGGTTGGGCATCTCTTGGCAAATGTGACTTCGTAGTTGCAATAAAGTGGTTCTTTTGGCTTCCCCCATACCTGTGTGACTCCTGTTTGTAACCTGTTAGCGGCGTAGTAGCTCAGGCAAGCTGGTAAACGTTTAACAGCATGTCGGGGCTCTTTCTGACCATAGCTGCTTTTTGTGTTTTCTAAGAAGTTGAGTGCTATACTCCCAAGGTACTAGTCTTCATTTCTTGCCATCAGGGTTGCAGAGCCACTGGAGCATGAATGGATGCGGTAATTCAAAGCAAGTTTATCCCAGTCTGTATATTGTGTCTTTTTTGACCTTGCAGAAATGCCTGAGGCAACTTCTAAGAAAATGCTGTTATCTTGGTAAGGGAAATGTAAGGTCAATAGGCAGAAGCAGATATATTCAATTATACTGAGGGTTGTTTAAATTTCTAAAAGGAACCAAGAGAGCATTTTTAAGTTACAGGAATAGGTCTTGGCAGGTCAATCAAGAATCTACCTTGTTTAGGGTATAATTTAGCATATGAATTGTGGCATTTAGCTACCAGCCCTATTGGGTGTGATGGATGAGAAGGTC